AGAACTGTACAGTACTAGACGAAAATGTTTAGCAATTTCTTAAAACAAAAATGTATATAAATTAACAATAGAAAACAAAGCAAAAGTTTTATAGGTGTGTAGAACGTTAAGTTAATTCACTTGTTATTATTTTTGGCTAAATATACTTTTAAATAAAGCATGTTCTTAAATTTTAACGAGGCAGTTTAAAAAATTTTGCAAATGGTACTGTACACTTTTGTCTAGTTCTCGCTCGATGATCGGTGGAGAAATGGCTCCACTGACAAATATGATTGAATTTGGAATTATGTTACGGCTCATCCTAATAAAGGGAAGGGGCATATCTCCAACTTCTTGAAACGAGCAGTAGTAACTTGTGATCTGGATTTAAACGATATGAGTCTACAAATAGGAGCAAATCACCACTTTACTGTCTTTTCGCAGTTATTTAGTAATCTCGCTTGTAATCAACATCTTCACATACGGTGTGGCGATGAGAATTAATAAGTCTAGGTCTTTACAATAAGATTTTCCATCATCCGGTGTGCGCGGCATAGAATTATGTTAATTAACATTATTATAAATACGTTGTGAACCTTTTGTTTTATAATTTTTTCTGGACGTTTACTTTTATAATCATCTTACTGGTTTCTACGACTATGCTAGTTTCCATTTTATAATTTTTTGGGCTTAATCATTTATGAGTACCTATTAGTAAAGAAATCATAACCGTACAGAGAGTGTTGAAATAAAAACAGTGATGATGCCAAAATAATTTGTTTACCGTGAAAGATCAGATCAAAATAGGGTTGCAAATAATTTTATTGATGTAAAATCAACATCAATTATTTTATATCAAAATATTTACAACCCCATTTTGTTTCTGATATTTTAGACATTGTAATAAGAGAAAGAAAGAAATGGAATCCATAGATTCTTTAGGTTTGGGTTCATCTAATAACTGAAGTTTTTCGAATCGTTTTCTAAGAATTTTGTATTATAGGCATTTATTGGTACACACACAATATCTTGTAGTTTTCAATTTTATACAGCTGGCCTATATCAATCGGTATTGTTTTGCGGACTGTTTTGTTGTTATTCAAAGAATTTTGTAGTTCCATTTGGCAAATGCTAATATTAATTTGGAATTTGAAAATTCCATGGACCATGACATTGAACCCGGAAAATAATATCTATCCAATATTTTATATTTTTCATTACCAAGGAGTTTAGAATTTTTTGGGCTGTCTTCAGTTAAAGAATTAGAGGGCATACATGGAAAGTCTCTTTGTCCCCTTTTCAAGCTCCTAATACCTTCAATGGCCAATGTGAGCAACTTTCATTCATCATTTTATATAATGTTTGATCGGTGATACTAGCAAAACTTTTAACGGCAAAAATGTATTTTGCATTTTACAAACAGAAAATCCGTTTGGAAAAGTATTTTAAATAAAATACAAAATGCTACAAAAATCACATCTCTGATAACAACATAGGTAAAAATGAATTCTTTATATGTATAACCTATATACGACAAGTAAAGATTATATTGTAATGTTCGTGGGTTTAACAAAATTAACTTCTAAGACTGATAACGACAGAATTATTTATTTACACTAATTATTAAAGAACTTAAAATCACTATTAAATTATTACTAAACTTAGGTTATGAATTATTCTATTTATGTACACTACTGTTGATATATCACTATTCACTGCGCTATTTATTTCACTGCTGCCTATGTCCATTTATTTCGGGATTCACTTCTGCAACGGTCAATTTATTTCTACTCCTTTCGGCTATCGTCTCTTCCCTTAAATACTCTTTTGTTCACTTTCGGGAACCTTCTGGAAACATCCGGATAGTTTATTTTTTCTTTGAACTGTTTAACTGCTTTCACGCACACGTGTGCCCGATCGCACACAAACACACTACAATATGGTAATTCCATATTAAAGGTAGTTATAAAACTAACTGAGAAAATTTTTGTAGAATATAAGTCAGGTTTTCGGTTATATTTTTGCCTTTTCTATGGATATAAAATAACAACACTATTTCAAATAGTAACGTTTATAATGTATTTTGCACTGAAAAAACGATGTTTAGTCAGCATAATGATACATTACACATAACTAACGGCAGAATAAAAAAGGTGTTATTTTACCAGCAGACGCGGCTGTTTGTGGTCATGAGTTTAATGGAACAGTTTCTCAATCATTTTGCTTGATTGGCGACTGGCCTCCCCGGGTAGGAACGTCTTTGATGTAGGGATTCAGTAGGATGAGCAGGTCTCGCGAGTAAGTGGTCCAGCTCGAGTTTCGAGGATTAGTTAAATGTCAGAAATGAATGATTTGCTTTGTAGGTACTGAGGTTATAGACATACTTCCTAATGACATGAATTTTCGCGACAAAGAAAACTGTAACTGTCGTTCTTTTCTGAGAAATTTTATTATACAGAAAGCGGTAATAATTTGCCTTCCTTTTTTTACTTTTAGAAAGTGCGTTTCGGAAGTTTCTTTGTATATCTTAATTATTGCATTTCTCTTTCTAGGTGCTACTGAAAAGACTGCTATTGTGCCAAAATTTGAGCTGTTATTTTTTCGACTTTTTGTATTCCATCCATTCTACAATGAGTGCTTCCCAAGAACCAAGTTCCTCTACATCAGAAACACCATCGCCAAAAGTGTCAACGTCGGATGAACAACATACTCTTGCCTCACATTTATACGCGTCGGGTGACGATTCTAACGTGGGAACAACATTATTGTTAGACGAAAGTGTTACAGTGCCATCTAATGGTTCTGTTGTTACAACGCAGAAGGAAGCCGAATGTGTTGGCCCTTCGGGAGATAGTCATGTGCCTTTCGATGATACCGCGAGTGTTAAATCGGACTGTTCTAGCGTTGCTTCTTCAAAGAGATCTGCAATTCCAAAATATACAAAATTCGCCACAAAAAGTGCAACTTCAACATCTGGTACATCTGCCTCCTCTTCTAGGATATCGAGACCATGTGCAGGACATGAAAAGCCAACCTTGCCAGTAACTCCTCCTAAATGTAAGTGATTTTTGAATATTTTTATACATACTTGATGTTTTTGTTCGAAGTTATCAGTAACATATCGTTCTAAAAGAGTGGGCCAGTTGGTAAATTAATATTATTTTTTGGATGACACTTCAAATATTGCGTAAGCAGGCTTAGGGGGTAGTTGGTTTAAATTTTTTCTTTTGCTGGCAAAGGGGGCAGGCTGTTATATGAATATTCGTATTCATAATTGATAAAGTAATTTTGTTTTTATAAACAATATTCTACAATTATTCTGTTTTTCGTACTGAATATATATAACATAAATAGCAGTCATCGTAGCTATTTTCTGGATCATTGCAGATGCTATGCAGAATAATTCGAATTAGTCAGCTTTGTTTAAAGAATTCCGAGGACTGATTGGCTAATCTAAACTTCCAGCTATACTCTTCCGTCTTTTGTTTCGGGGTTTTTTAACTTTATGATAAAGTGTTATAAATAAGGTTAAAAAAAGTATTATGCTGTTGAAGAAACTTGAAGGACTCGAGGGAAGCTATATTCATTTTTTCCTAAATTCATCGATAGACCCTTAAATATCCAGTGGAAAAATTGATTTTTTTCAATGTGCGGCGCAAGATATTGCAAGTTTTTTACACAAAATATGTCGTTTTTGCGATGTGCATATTTTTTGTTCCGTCACAATTAAATTAAACGTAAAATCATTATAATTAAAATACTTTTATTTTTGAACTTTTTTCAGATGTTGATACAGTTTTGATAATAGCATAACCAATTTCATCCTTTATAGGCACAAAAGTGTGTAATGACTGTGTACCTTTAACCGTTTTTGATGGAGAATATCGTACATTTAACATATTTTTTTTGTTTAAATAATCATCATTCGTTATAAAAGTGAAATCAACGCCGTTAAAATTCTTGATTGCCCAGGAATGAAAATCTTGTGGAGTCAGTATATGTTCTTTATTTTCCATTTGTAATGAAGCTCTAGCAGCATGTCGTTTTACTGAACCTGCAAGCCCGTCACATGGTCCTTTGCCATGGGCAGTTGCAAAAAAATGCCACTCAGCGTTGATTTCAAAGTCAGCATAATGATAACATAAATTAGTAAATGCTTTCTTGTTCTTAAATTGCTGTGGTGCTCCGTCGGAAAAGTAAAACAGCAAATTTGTCTTTAGTACAGTAACCGGTTGTTCTTGAAATAAATAAATCAAAACCGTGTCATGTTTAAGGCAAAAACTATGCACATCGCAAAAACGACATATTTTGTGTAAAAAACTCAGCTTTCAGAAAAAAAAAGTCAAATTTGCAGTATCTTGCGCCGCACATTGAAAAAAATCAATTTTTCCACTTTAATTGGATATTTAAGGGTCTATCGATGAATTTAGGAAAAAATGAATATTTTCATTCAAAAGCTGAGAAATTTTCCCACAAAATACAGTGTTAGATTAATTTTTATAAAAAAGTTTTCAAAAAATCAAAACTCCGAAACCGCTGCATATTAAGGGCTCAAACTTTCAGGGAATTTTTTTCTTATGACAGAGAACATCACAAATTTTGAACATAATCCGGGAGGGTCGCCCCGTAAAAATGATTTTATTTGGTGGAATGACCCATATATAAATAGTGTTGTGAAAAACACATAGATATATAATTATTATAACTATAATATCTCTATGGAAAAACATTTCGATTATGTAGGTTAAGAAGAAACTGCGAACTTGAGTAGGATTGCCATTGTAGGTCCATTTTTTGTTTCTATTAAATAAATGATTTTTATAACAGTAAATAAATTCATTCATTTGATTTGCTTCAATTTTGTATAAATTTTCAGCCAATTTATACCTACTTAGTGGACAAAAATGGTAAAATCAATTTTTGAGTTTAAAAATAATTTAGGCTCAAAATTTCCTTTTAGGTCATTCATGATTATCTGCATCAGTTAATAGTTTAGGAATAACGTCATTCTTCCTTATGTCTCCTCGGTTATTCATAACTGTATATATTTGTTTATATAGTAATGTAATTTCCGGTTATATTTCTGCTCCAGAAACTATGCAGAATGTCGAGACCTATTTAAATGGATCTCTTCTTGTTCTGCCCTAAAAATACACGATGTCAGCTTCATTATGGTAGGCCTAAAGCTGAAATTAAGTGCATTCTTGTCACGAACCTAAATTAAAGTATTTATGGAATACCTACTGGCCCAGTTCTAATTTTTGATTAATTTATGCTCGGCTAAAAGACAGTGTGTGTTTTGTTAAGCGTGTTTTAATGATATATCCATCGCCTAAAAAATGCCATCATTTCGACGTTAATTGAAGCGGTCGGCACACGATATATGTATATGATATCAGAGAGTCTAGAAAAAAAAAAATAGTACCTGTTACGTATGCCTATTCAGACTATTTTTGAATCCAACTTTTATTACAGTTCTATTGGACATATTGATGTCTTTGTCACAGATTTTATCTAAATAAGTTAAAGGTAAGCTAAAAATTGGTTGAGTACAGAAATAATATAAGAACAAAGGCTTTCACGACCGGAATCCATAGTACAATGATGATTCAGGCTATAGTGCCGTGGTCTAAGTGAAGTGTTGTGTCCAGACGTTTCGTCTGCTACTGTGGCTGACATTCTCAGTGGTAGTGCTGCGTTGACAAGAAAGTCTCGACAGCGACGTTCACGTTGTCAACGCAGCACTACCACTGAGGATGTCAGCCGCAGTAGCTGACGAAACGTCTGGACACAACAGTTTACTTAGATCACGGCCCTATAGCCCGAATCTTCATTCTAATACAGAAATAGTTGTAGTTACTTTTAATTTGACAAAAAACTCAATGTCTTAAAAACCGAGGTTGATTTAAAAGTATGTTATGCTTTTCTATTAAAAATTTTGAAATCAATTCGGATCCCATAAGAAAATAAATAGTGAATTGATTTCCATTTGTAGGTTAATTCGTGGGTGTATTTAGAAATCTAAAAAAGTGATTGCGTCCATGTTACTACTTTGTGGTAAAACTGATTTATTTAAACATTCTTTATTAATCATGTACTTATTTCAATTAATTATTGCAATCGGCAACAGATTTTTATCTGTTATTTCTTGTCATGTATTAAAGTATTGCTTTTCTTTTGGAAAATATTACACTTGTAGAATACCAAAAATAATATGCCTCATTTTCCTTTTTAGTACGAAATTATGATTTGGAGAAGTTAGTTCGGTTTATTAGTGTATCTAGAATGTTGGTTTTTTAAATCACAAGCAGGTACTATTTTCACACTTTAACGTGGCACATAAGTATAGTACAAAGAACTATTCTTTTCGACGAACTATACGAACTAATAGACCGTTAGATAATCGCAAATTCCAGTGCCTCATTCTGTTTTTTCTGTCTTCAAGAGGGTTAATAAGTACATGTACAGGGAATTCGGAAGGAAATGTTGCCAATAAAAACTGTGAAAAATAATTTTAGATGGAACACCCCCTGTATATTATTACATTTTTGAATGCAGCATCGATTTTGATGTCTAGTTTGTTAAGCATAATTTTGCATTGAAAAAACATGTTTTGATCCATTTTGTCAATCTGCTGTGTTTACCAAATGAAATTTAAAAAAAAAAAATTTAACGGAAAATGATGGCCAGAAGAGTTTCGCGGACACCGGGGTTTGGAATGAAAGCTTGATTGTACAAAAAAATATATGAATTGTCCTAATTTTCTTTTCTTTTCTGTGGATTGACAATATAAGAGTTAATATTACGAGTATTTCGCAAAAACGAAAGGCAGAAGGTCTTCGACTGACCTAGACAAGATATGCACGAGAAGATTTTGCAAAAAATTAATATGTTATGGTTTCATTATTTATGTCTTTATAATTATAAGTATTTACATCAAAAGGCAGAAGTACTGGGCAAGCCTTTCGCATTGAAAATGATTAAAAATAATAAAGGCAGAAATTTACCAAGATCCCGGAAAAGGCAGATAAAAAGAAAAAATCATTTTGAGTTTTTACAACAAACAAAAAGTGTTAAGCGTGGTTCTGGTATCGAAAGCGATCGGTTGAGTTGAAAAATTAGCGTACTTCGTTTGGAAAACAAAATGACAACAAAACCAAGGTAGTTTTTTTCAATTCAACCAATTGTTTTCAATATGAGAACCACGCTTAACACTTTTGGCTTTTGTTGTAATATTAAAATTATTTTTCCTACGTATCTCCTAAAAGGCACAATAAAAAGAAAATGGTAGCAATTTATGTAAACTTTCCGAGATCTTCGTAATTTCTGTTTTTATCATTTTTAAACATTCTTGATGCGAAAACCCTGCCCAATACTTAAGTACATAAAATGAATTTTTAAATGTGTCTGCCAAACAGCATAAAAATAGAAAACGGTGGAAATTCACATAAGTTTTTCTGTACATTTACGAGTTTCTTTTAAAGTGATAGGCCATACTCTACCCTTTTTTATATAACAGTTACAATATTGTATTGTTAATGAAACAAATTTAATTGACGACAAAATCATTAAAATTGACAAGATGGGTCAGAACATGTTTTTTCAATGCGAACATAAAATTGATTTTTATTATTTTGGTGACACATTCCACCGTTAATTGTAGCATTATCATACACTAAATATACATGTTTATCAACCCTCTTGTAAGCAGATAAAACAAAATGAGGCACTAAAACTTACGACTATCTGACGGTCTGTTCGTACAATGAAAGAGAACTAGCTCGCAACGAATTGGTAATGAATGAAAAGATAATAAAATTAAACAATTGATCTCGTTCGTATTATTCGTTCGTTTTCGGCTTAGATTAGAATTAGTTTACGGTGATTGTTGACTGAACTGAAAAAGAACGTGATTAGAACATGATTAGGTATTTGGAGGTTAGTACTATGTAACACAGAGAGTTCTCTCTCTTCTTTTAAACGAGTAATTGTAGGTAACAGTTCTTTAGAACTAGTTCATTAAAAAGAACTGTTAGGTCCATCACTAATTGCAAGAG